TTATATTTTTTGTGAAATTTTTCGTAGCACAGTTTTTGGCGCGCGTTTGTCGTCGGCTTCTGAATTGTTTTTGTTGTTGTTATATATTGTTTTTTTTTTGTTTTTTAATTTTAGATTTGTTTGTAATTTATTTTGTTGCTTTCGCCGCTTGTGGCACTTGCCACACGGCGCGTTCTTTGCACGTTGCAGCTGCTGCTGCTGCTGCTGTTTGTTGTTCGTTTAATGTTGTTATTATTGTTATTGTTGTTGTTGCTGTTGCTGTTGCTGTACGCTGTTCTGTTCGATTTGGCGCTTTTTTGGCCCGTGCACGACGACCGCTTGACGCCCGTATTGAAAACAGACTGCGGCATCAGACGCCAGACTCGACGAGATTCATCCCATGCAGATAGCAGCCGCTGCCTGTGCCGTGCCACACGACGAACACACGCGAACGTGCCACACACACACACACACACACACACACACACGAAGGACGGCGGCACGAAGCGCGACGAGCACGAAGTCGAGCCGTCGCCTCGTTTACTTCTTTCGTACCAAACACACACACACACACGCACGCACACAGCATCCGCACTGCTCGCTTCTCTGCCATCATGCGTGCATGTGTGTGTGTGTGTGACTGTTTTTGCGCGTGTGTGTGTGCGCGCGCACGCAGCAGCTGCCGTTGTCGAAGGCTTTTCCTTTTGGCTGGCAAAGCCGGGAGCCTAAGAGCAGCAGCAGCAGCAGCAGCAGCGGCAGCAGCAGCAGCAGGAGCAGCAGCAGACGAAACGCTCTTCGGGCCCCACGCAATATTCTGCGTGGTGAGTTCAAGCGGCAACAACAACAGCAACACGAAACTTTAAACAGCAAGCGTCTAGCGCCAGGTGAGCTCGCTGTCAGCAAGATCGCGTATACGCAGCGTGTTGCTGCATCAAAAGCCAAACAAGCCAAAGATATGAAACGATCTTCGTGTGGGGGAGGAGGGCAAACAGGAGAGGTGCAAGCAATGCAGGCAACAAATGCTCAAATGGGTAATATGAATAATGGGGATAGTAATATAACGAATAAAAGTACCCACAAACTGTTTCTGATACTAAACATGTCATAAATTATAAAAATATAACAAAAACAGGCTTAAAAAAAAAAAAAAAAAAAAAA